TTAATTTATAAAAAGTTCCCAGGTAAAGCTAACTAAACATTGAGAACCACTGTATTAAAAAGTAGTTCTGAGCTATAAATAAATAATGTATATAAAGACAGAAATACATTTACAATTTACTTTATGCAAAATTTTTATGAATCTATGTTTAAATTCATGTTAAAAATCTGCCCAGTAACTCTGATGATAGGTAAATGTACATTATGTGACCTATGAAAATAGGCTCAGAATTGCCAGACAAAGCAACTATTTTCACATCCTACTTTCTAGTTCATTAAAATATTTTAGTATACTGACATCTAGTTTATTAAACTTTCAGTTAGGAGATAAATTTTACTTATTTAACTGTATAATATTATATGCGACACTATAAACATTTTACTGTTAGAATGTTTATTATCTACACTAATAAAAGAGAAAGATGCAAACTGACTATACCTTCACGATGCCCACCAGCCAATCAGGAGTGAGTATGCAAATTAACCCAACAAAGATGTTAGGTTAATTTGCATACGCAGGCGCTGAGCAGCTGGGCAGGACACTTGCATCCTGCAGGCATTCCGTACGCCCAAGCCACTCCTGGCTTCTGGGCAGCGTGGGAAGGCAGAAAGGCAGCTCTGGACCAGAGTGAAGGCGGTGCCCGCAGCTAGGGGAAGGAAGGCCCATTCTTGCACGAATCTTGGTGCATCGGGCCTCTAGTACATATATAAGTTTAAAAGATGATGATACAGAAACTTAAATGTTAAAAGGAAAAATCAGATCATCTTGGGCACAATACCTGTTCTTCTTCATTAATAGCAGCTATGTAACCCATAATACTTTGTATCTCTTCATGAGTCCCACCTTTGCACAGAAAATATTTAATTAGCCCATACAAAGAAGTCCTTATTGTCCGAATATCATCTAGAGACAGCTCACTATATTTACAATCACTTCTGAAAGAGAAAGTAAAAGTGCAAGAATTGAAATTTAAAATTCTTATATTTGTGTATCCTATATAATAAAAGGCTAATATACAAATCTACCAAATGGAGGAATGACTGGTCGCTATGATGCGCACTGACCATCAGGAGGAAGATGCTCAATGCAGGAGCTGCCCCCTGGTGGTCAGTGCACTCCCACAGGGGGAGCACCACTCAGCCAGAAGCTGGGCTCACAGCTGGCAAGCACAGCGGTGGTGGCAGGAGCCTCTCCCACCTCCACAGTAGTTGGACATTCCCTGAGGGCTCCCGGACCGTGAGAGGGCACAGGCCAGGCTGAGAGACCCCCCGCCCCCCAAATACTAACTGAGCGCACAAATTTTGTGCACTGAGCCTCTAGTTTTTACATAAAAAATTAATTTAAAAAAGATGTTTCTATGTTATGATTAGTACTCATAACATAATGTTATTAACCAATGTTACTCCAATAAATTTAATTTTAAAAAAAGGAATCTATGGTATCTTTGGCTTCTTTTTCTAAACGGAAACCTTCTGAAGTTAAGAGTTTCAATGACAAAGACATTAATGTATATATTATACAACACTCACTATGTAGCAGACACAATTCCAAGTGCTTAATACATTATTAATTCATTTAATTTAATCCTCAAAACAACCATAAGATATCTCAGTTTTATTATATCCTTTTCACAAAACAGAAAACTTAAGCACAAAAAAGTTGAGTAATTTGCCTGCGGTTAGTCAATTGACGAAACACAAGATTCAAACCCAAAGTATATGATTCATTGTTTTTCATTTTGACCTCCACACTATCCTGCCTCTCTGAAGTTAAAGGATATTAGAATTGCTGGAAAATAAACAATCTAGATATTCCAATCAAGTAGCAGGCAGAAAATATTAAACTGAGAAGGCGTAAGGACATCATACCCATAATAAATCCTGAGGGTATCTAGGAGAAACTGCACACCATACTTCTTTCTGAAAACTCTCCTGCTGTCTTTGATGATGGTGGAAAGATACTGTATATGACCTAAAACAGAAAGTTCACTCTTAAATGATATACCTATCATTAAGTCATATATGTAGTTATAGATTTCCCAAACAACTATAAAACTATATCTAACAGCCTGCTCTCACCGATTCTAAAGGGAAAATCTCCACGGTTCCAAATATGAAAGTCGAAAAGTAAATACTGATACATTTGTTGCAGGAGCTGCATATTTTTCTCTAATGATACTTGTTCAATTAGTAATTGAATTGCCATCAATACATTAACATCCATCAAGATGCTTGGCATCTGAAATCCAAACAGAAAAGGTTTCTGTAAAGTTCAGTTTAAATAATCATTATTATTAAGCTATAATTTCAAATAATTTATTCAGAACATCTATTAAATATAAAAAGTTGATTAGAAAAACATAAAGAACTTAAGACAATTTTTCTGAAGTACTGCTAGAACATATTTTCCTACTGTTATGAATTAATCAAATATCCCAAATAACAAAGCTAACAAACAAGGTCCTAGTATGTAAGATGAGTAATTCTTGTATAAGGTGATTTAATGATTCTTAAAAATCTACTTGTGAAATAAATTATATGCACTAACATAACAAGCTGTAATAGTGTAATTTAAAAAAAAATTTACTTATTAGGAAGAAAAACCTCCAACACTAACTGCTATTTACAATCATCCGCCACATCTGCATAATGTTAGACTAGCTCACCTTCTGAAGTAAGGCACCAAGAGTGGCAACTCCATGGGAGTGAATAAGATTGTCCTGGTTAATAGGATGTCTTTGAATCAAGTGTTTCACAATCAAGATAAATGTTGCAACTAAACTTCTCTCTAGTCTTGACTCTGGAATTGTGAACATGTCATTAATTATCATAATTACTCTAATCACTTTATATCATATTTTCTATATCATAATGACTACTATAACATACAAAAATCCAGTTAAGAAATTTGCCTCCTACGGTCACTTATAGAACACAAATATCAGAGAAAGAAGCAATTGCATATGCACATGTCAATATTTTCTCTACCATAAATTTAACAATGTTGTCATATTTCCACTAAAAGTACAAACTTGGGATAAGAGTAAAACCAACATCTTAAGTCTTCTGACTAAAGTATTATAAACTTTCTGAACATTAGTAAAATTAGGGATGGGTTGCCTCAGCTGCAAATGGTTAAGTTTCTTCCTAACAGACATCTTAATCTATTTTCAATTAATTCTCCAATTTTTCAATGACTATTTTGTATTAATTCCATCTTAATACCTGATGTCTTTGGGGAGGTCGGTATCACCCAATCTCCTTCTACAGGTGTTATCAATTCAGAAACTGTTATTTCATTTATTCCTTCAGGAATCTGTTCTTCACTGAAGTGGCTAATTTGTTCCAACAGAGGAAAGAGTACATTTAATCCACCTATGCAGTTTACGATGTCCTGAAAAAAAAATTATAGTATTTTAATCTTTAAAACAAGGGGAATTTTGTTATTTGATAACTAGACAGTATGTATGAGGTTATAATTTACTAAATCTTTAGGCAATGTATGGAACAGTCTAAGCTACAGGAACCCTTGTATGGGCATATGCTTTAAAGAGCAGCCTTAGAAGTCACCATAATCAATACTCAACAGAGACTAAGCTAGATCATTTTTACTGCACCTTCATTTTCCAAAGTTCAGAAATTCCAAACAGGCAATCTAAACATGACATGAGTTGACTTTATAATGTAACACTAAGGATGTAAGAGGAAACTGTCTAAAGGCAATCAGGTATAATGAACAGGGGAATAAATCATGAAAAAAAAAGAATATATTTGACAGGAGAAATAGGACTGACTCCTCTATTTTTACTTAACAAAAAAGGTGGAGTAAGTGGCTTCAACCAAAGTTCAAAGTGACTATTTTGAATAGCTTAACAAAATATATTCAAAATCCTCTGACATGTTACTAATTTCTCTGCCTCAGTTTTGTCGTCTCTAAAATTAGGATGATATTAATTCCTACTTTGTAAAGTTGTTACAGGGATTATAAGCTCGGTGCCTCACATATAGTGAGTCTACATAACATTAGCTGTTATGAACTGCTAAAATGTTCTAAATGAAGGGGCGAGTCGTCGCAGGGCCTATGTGGGCCAGCCGCCGGGCCCCATGAGACACAGCCTGACCACGCTGCTGGCGGCCTCAGGCACCGACTCCCCAGCCCACGGCGGGAGCCCGGCGCAGGCCGCCACCCCCCCGCCGCCCCCAG